CACGGTGTAGCCGTTCAGTTACGGTAGCAGTGCAAGAAAAATTGAACATGAGGTAACACAATTTACCATGTAAAACAATATAATAAAAACCATACGAATACGAAGCTCATTGCTCAACACTGTCAAAAATCGACCGGCAACACGACAGCCGTATCACTGGCAACGCATGTTGCTACACGTTCGCCAGGAAACATCGTGTTGCTTCGGTGTGAGAATATTCATTATTTTCTACGAGATTAATCAATTAGCAATATTATTGCTTATCTACGATTGCTAGTTGCTCGTTGCCTATTGCTCCGGTGTGAGAGCCGCCTAATAGTGTTTTATTACACTTAAATAACGCAATAACAGCAACACGATTTTCTTTAACACGTTGACTGCCATACGGCCGCCGGCGGCCGCATAAGAATAATTGTATATCAATAGTTTTTAGGCCGCCGGCTGCCGCATCGTATCATTCACAAGAAGCCATATGGCCGCGGGCTGCCGTAAATTCTATACATTTTGGAATCATAATAATTATGTTGGCACTGCAGTTATATCTTTTAAATTTATACTGTGACATAGTGGACAAAATTACCATTTTATCTATATATTACACACCCATATGCGATATTTTTTAGTCATAATTTTTATTACTTTTACTAAGCATCAAATTAAACAATACATTTTTCTTAAAACTGCCAAAATACATCTTTATTTTTATTAAAACTTGATAATTAAATTAAAATATCTTTGAAATCATATTTTATAAAATTAAAAAAAAATACAGTTCCTTTTGAAACAATATAATATAGTTAAAGTTAATTACTATGGCTTTTAAAAAATAATTTTTATTTTTTTTTATAAATTAAAACTTAAAATAATTTTAACTTAAATTATACTTGTCATTTCCTTAATTATTTGTCATTTCTATGATGTTTCATAAAACAATCTACACACGTACATACATCACATTTCGTACATAAAGTTGTAACTCTTTTAACGTCTTTACAGGCCTGAACTGATCCAACTATTGCAGCTTTATCTTTATAACAATGTGCACATCTTTTTCTTATTTTTCGGTTTCTGCTACACTTTTCCGAAGTTTCATTGAGAATATGTTTTGATGATGCTCGTCTTGATGTTGATGATGTTGAAGTAGAAACTGAATCTTGATGAACTAATGGTTGATTTAATTCAAGCATTTCGTTAATCAGTGCTTCACGGAACTGCGTAATTTTAAGTTTATTGTGTGATGTATTTAAGTTATGTACTATAAGTGCATTTACTACAGCAGTTCCTAATAAAATCTCCGTTGCCACTTTGTGGTACCATCTAATCGACTTCCGTACTGGACTACTATAACTCGATAGTTGATCTGACAGGTCAATCCCAGCCTTACCTGAATTATAATCAACTATAATTTTTGGCTTAAGAATTGTTTCGTTGTTTCTATTTTTCTTCCCTGTGTCTACCATGGTAATGTTATGACGAGTCGATAACATAGTAACATCTCTTTTATCGCGCCATTTAGCAACCACAATCCCATTTAAATTTTCTTTACCTATGATTTGTCCAGGTTGTAATTTTGATTTTATAACTTCTGGAAGCTTAACTCTGTTACATCTTAATGTACCTATTAAATGAGTTTTATTTTCTAAAAGCGCGTTAGCTAGGTTGAGTGAAGTATAAAAATTGTCGGTTATTATAGTTCTGCCAGCGTTCAAATATAAAGAAGTCAAATCCATAACAACACTACATCCTAATCCTCTGCCATCATTTTGTCCTTTTCCTGCGTACACTTGAATATTATACGTGTATCCATTTGCTCCACAAAGTTTAAATAATTTAATCCCGTATTTATGAGCCTTACCGGGAATGTATTGCTTAAATTTTAATATACCACGGAATGGGACCATTGTTTCATCGACTGCCATCATTTCCTCTGGTTCCATTGCATTTTGAAATTTTTTTACAATTTTGTAGATTAGATTTCGAACTTTAAATATCCTGTCATTTTCGGGGGCTTGCTCATTATCCGAAAAATGCCAAAAACGAATAATCAATTCAAACCTATTTCTGGGCATTATGTTTTTAACTACACTGTTTTTATATATTATTTTTAAACTCCAATAATCTCTAATACTTGGCATCTGTACTAGCCCCATCCACATTAATAAACCCAAAAAATGTTTTATTTCTGTAGCATTGGTAGGTGTCCACTTCGAAAATCTACTAGATTTAGTTAAACGAAATTTAGATAATATTTGATCTGCATTTCTATTAGTTTCTAACACTATGAGATCGATAATTTCATCAGTTATAAATATTTTGAAATATTGCCATGGAGTCGCATTGTTTGGAATTTCAACTTTTAAACCAGGATTTTTACTAAATATAAATTGTTTTTGGTGATGACCTGTAACATCATTCCAAATAGGTTCAATAACAGGCCTTTGTATATTAGTTACTTCATTAGAAATGTCATCAAAATTATTACTATCTGCAAATGTATAAAAATACTAATTAGGACAAATAATTTAACTATATTTTTATTTTTATTGCATGTGTAAAAAAAATTGATTATTAAATAAATTTTGAAATTCTTGATGAAAAGTATTGCAAATTTAATATATCAGGCATTTTGCATAATGAACGAACATAAGCAACAAAAAAGATTAACAGTTAACACCTATGTAAAAACGACATATTCCTTGCTTATGCTCAGAATCTAATGATTTAATTTTAATTCATTTTTATATAGTTAAAATTAAAAAAACTTATAAAATATAATTTAATATATTTGGTAAATAATAACATTTTTACTTACCACTGTCACTTTGAATATTATCGGAGATATTTGAAGGAACATAATGCTCATCTACGTCATCTAAAAGTTCCCGCACAACACTTTCATCGCATATTTTAAACCGTTTTGGTCGAGAACTCATTTTTATGATATAAAAAAACTCAATGATGTCAATAATTTGATGTTGGCACGCCGGCGGACGTATGGCGTTTAATTATGCTATGTATTATCTTAGCGTCATGAGGCCGCCGGCGGCCGTACTATTATTATAGTTTATTAATAATCTTCAAACCAAAATAAACCGATTGCTATCGGAATCGTATTTTTACATCTATTTGTTCCAATAATATCACTCGGTACATTTTACGAATGTTGTCTGGAATATACGTATAGCATTATAAAAATAAACGACTGTGCGGCCGTATGGCAGTCAACGTGTTAATACCCCATTCCATGTTTAATACGTGACGTGAACTATCGTACTAAAGCTACGTTTACACGATGATAGTTTAACGCGATAGTTAATATCGCGAGAGTGTGCGATATTTGATTATCACGATAGTTAGTGTTTACACGCTATCGAGCGTTTTTACTACTATCACACTGTCACAGCAATATAAACTATATAGCAAGTAGTGCTGGTAGCGACTTGCGATTCTAGAGTGTAAAATATGTCTACAACTGAAGTGACTTATGCGATTGTTAATGTCATTAGTGACAACCTAACCTAAGCTTAGACAAACTAAGAAAAAAAGGCAAAAACGCATTTGGATAAAACCATGGATTCAACGACGAAATGCATTAGGTGCATCGAGCACACTAACGAGAGAGTTAGCATCTGAAGACCCCGACAGCTATTGCAATTTTTTTAGAATTAATGAAGATATGTTTAATATTTTACTCAAAAAGGTAGTATTAAAATATTTAATTTAACTATAACCTATATTAATTTTACTTTGTTATAGGTTGAAAATAAAATTATGAAATGTGATACTATTATGAGAAATGCCCTATTACCTGAATTAAAATTGGAAATTACTATGCGTTATTTGGCTGCAGGAGATTCCTAAAATCACTTCAATATCTGTACAGAGTCTCAGCATCATCCATTTGTAGTTTTTTACCTGCTGTATTTGATGCTATTTATGAAGGATTAATAAAATATATCCAGGTAACGATTTTGACGAAAAATAATCATGCCTTATATAATATAATGTATTATTATTTATTAATCTGTATGGGTTATATACTGTTTATCTTTTTTTTTTTTTTTCTTCAGTTTTGAACCGACGACGCCGCGGGAATTGCTTTCGCATTACTGCCGCTACGCCCCCATCGTTTATTGAAATAATCAAAAATTTTATACATACGGGGGAGGTAGACGGGACAATTCCCCGACTTACCCCCCCTTACATGACAGTTTATACAATTACATCTACATTACATTTTAGCGTGTGGTTGTTCTGATCCTGGTCTTAGCGGGCCGACCGAAGTCCGCCGCCCTGGGGTGCCCGATCGTCCTGCGGTGCAGTGATCGATCGCCTTACCCTCCCGTGGTGTCACAGGGGGGTGGGGATGAAGGAACGGTGGTCGGTGACACCTCCGACGTGTCGCTGTTGCTACTGCGGAGGGCGTCTTCGGTCCGTCCTTCATTGCTGTTCGTCCCGTTCGTCTTCCTCCTTTTCAACCATGATCGATTCGACCATGGTGATAAATTCCCGGCGGTTCGTTCTCGCCTGATCGAGTATTCTGTTTCGCGCCGCCAGGTCGTCTGGCAACTCGTCATTGCGAGGGCCGCAGAGAATTTCCTCAACGTCACCGGCGGGGGGGGGGGGGGGTCGGCGGAGAAGGCTGGCCATAGTGGAGCGCTCATCTACCCACCTCGGGCAGACGAACAGCGTGTGTTCGGCGGTGTCGTCTGTGTGCATGCAGTAGGTGCAGTAACTGTCGTCTGCCCGGTTGAATCTAGCGAGGTAGCTCCTGAAGCAGCCGTGAGCTGTGAGTACCTGGTTAAGGTGGAAAGTGAGGTCCATTGGCGGTTTAGTCAGCCATCGTGCTATGTCGGGTAGGAGTCGGTGGGTCCATCTCCGCCCTACCGCGCCAGGTGTGATGGCTGCCCGGTCCCATCTAGATTGCCAGGACTTGACCGATAATATACTGTTTATCTAGAATACTTTTTAACAACTTTCATTCATGAATTAAAAAAATAATACATATTCTATAGAAATTATTATTAAATTTCAAAATTATTATAAAATAATGCTAAATTTGAGTTTTGGTTTGTTTGATGTACTGGTTCTGGTGGTTCTAAAGTTGTAAAAACAATCAGAGTATGATGCATCAAATTCATCATTTGTAGAATCATTACTTGAATATGAGATATTTGAATAGCTATTATCAGATGGGGAAGGTATGAATTGTACCTCAGTTGTATTTTTAGCTGTCATTACAATTGGGTTTGTGGACCCATTTGTCTCATTCATTGAACTAATGCGAGCTCTTGTAAAATATTCTGGATATCTGATTGTGCCATGAGAGCCTCTTTTAAAGGAAGTTGTTTCAGTTGAGTTGCTATA